TGGCTAGAACAACAAAGCTAGTACATGTGAGGAAGACAAAGAACGGCTCTCTACTTCACAGGCAAAAAAATGCTAGGATTTAAAAACAAAAACCTAACAAAAATGCTATGATTTTAAGTTTTAAAAGTTCTGGAACTTAAATATCACACAGCTAGTCACATAAAGGAGAAAGCTAATCAGGAAAAGGAGACTGCAGTAGAAATGCTACAGGGAAACACAAGTGGGAATGAAATCCTTGCAAAGAGATGCTGAATATAGTGTGAAAAAGTTCTAGGACAAGACAAGTTACAATTTTACCAACACTAGTAGCAAATAAAACCTAAGGGTAAAAATCACAATTTAAAATTATTAACAGAAGACTTCTTTCTAGATCAAAGCCATAACTATGTTATCTCATACTATTTTTTAAGCAAGAGTTGATAAGCATATGCACTTTTAAAATGTCAGTAAGGACTATCCAAGTCTACCTTCTAAGGCAAGAAAAACTTCATACAGTAAAAAAGTGGAGGCAATTTGTTTTCCCCTAGAAACTAAAATACAGTACTCTCAGATATAGCCAGTGTTCTAAAAACCAATATGGTCAATCCATAGAATGGAACCAAATATTTTCAAATCATGTATCCCATATAAGAGCTGTATCTAGTATAAGTGGCCAATAAGCATACAGAAAGATACTCAATACCGTGACGAAAATGCAAATCAGATAACCACTTTATACTCCCCAGCATGCTGTAATGTAAAAGAGACAAATTTTAAGTATTAATGATGAGATGAAAGATGTGGAGAAATTCTAACTGTTGTACACAGCTGGTGGGAATGTAAATGTCAATGTACAGCTGCTCAGGAAAACAGTCTGGCAGTTCCTCAAAAAGTTAACAGCAGTTTGACTCCTATGTATATACCAAGATAAATGAAAATCCTGAGCATGAAAGTTTACAGCAGCATTGTGCTTAATACTCCCAAAGCAGAAAGAGCCCAAATGTTCATCAACTGATGAATGCACAAAATGTGGTATTAATCATAGAATACAGTATCATTCTATAAAAAAATTAACTTAAACACTCATGCATGTTACAACATGAACTGTGAAAACATTATGTTAAGTATGTTTTAAAAAAAAAACCCACGTTTTATGATTCCATTTATATGAAATATCCAGGATAGCAAATTTATAGAAAGATTAATGGTCAGCTAGGAAAGTTTAGAGAGGAGATGGGGAATCACTGCTAATGGGGTCAGGTTTATTTCCAGGGTGAAGAAAATGTTCTAAAGTTGATTGTGGTGATGTGCATAATTCTGTTAGTATACTAAACAGCACTGAATCTATATACTTTAAATGAGTGAACGGTATGGTATTTTAATTGAAGTATAGTTTAGTGAAATTTTCTAATTGTATAGTGAATTTTTTTTAGTGGAAATATAGTTGGCAATGTTACATTAGTTTCAGGTGTACACAAATTATGTCTTAATGTGGTTTTAACAAACCACTGTGGACTACAAAGTACAACATCGGATACATTCCAAGACCCCCAGTGGATGCCTGAAATCACAGATAGTACTGAAACCTATATATACATGCATACCTATGATGAAAGATATTTGACAAATTAGGCACAGTAAGAGATTAAGAACAACAATAAAACAATTATAATATATAACGATATATCGTAATAAAAGTTATGTGGAATGTGGTCTCTCTCTCAAATTATCTTCTTGTACTGTGCTCACTCTTCACCCATTCACCTGTGAGGTGAATGACGTAGGCACTGTGATGCAGCATTAGCTACTACTGAGCTTCTGGCAATGTATCAGGAGGAGGATCATTTGCTTCAGGACGATGGTTGACTGTAGAAAGCAAAAGTGTGCATAAAGGGGAACTGTACAACAAATCTAATCAAACAAATAATTTTATTCTAATCCTTCTGAGGTATAATTGCTTTTTTAAAAATAACTAACACAAATTCAGTTGCCTCACCCAGTTCATTCTCCTCTGCCCAATAAAACCCCACACTTCTTGCCTCCTTTAACCAGCCGTTACAAGATGACTTCAGTACTATTTGAACAAAGGCACAGCCCAAGTATACTCAGGAGCCTGGGCGTGTGCAGTCTGGATCTGACCATCACCAACCTGCCTTTACTCAGTTCTTAACTACCCAAGAATGCTGTGCCAACCTGAGTAGCTTTTAAAGGAGCAATTTCAGATTTCCAAAACATAACGTAGATTTAACTTTTCCCAATTCCCTATTGCCTTCAACTTAAACCTCTTCTGTTATTGAGTGAAGGATCTACATTCCTGGTATTTACACTCATTTTTGAGAAATGCCTTGCTTTCCACTATCAACAAACAGAAAAGCATATGAGGAAAATGGCTCAAGATTGAAGAATGACTTTCCAGTCAATTCTCTATGAACTGGTCAGAGTCATTATTTCATAAAAATAAATTTGATTGTGTTACACCTTGATGAAAACCTTAGAGCGGCTCCATACTGCTTTTAGGACAAAATTCAAACTCCTTGGTAGGATGTAGAAGGCCAGCCCCAAATTTTGCTTACTTTTTCAACCTCATCTCTCATGACTCTTGGTCCAGAAAACTAGGTTGACTCTTCCTCCTTGCCCCTAGGGCTCCTGGAACATGTAATTCTCTTCACCTAGGACCCTCGGTTCAAAGCTGAGTACTGCAATGGTCCACCTTGTATATAATGATACCTGCTTATCTCACAGCTTATTTTCACACTGTACATGTCTTGCCCCACCACAAAGAACTCTAAACACTGTGGCTGCATCTTATTTAGGCTTTAAAAAGTGTTGGGGGGAGATAGGGAGACAAGGGGTATTAATCATGTCTTTCTTTATCTCAATCACCCATTAAAATTGTTGGCAAAAAAAAAAAAACACAAAAAAACAACCCACTTAATAAACGTTTGTTGAATCAGTAACTGAGGAGGGACATTTGAATTGTGGAGAATTCCAAAAGGCAGAAAAAGCCAACAAATGAAAGGGAAGAGTTAAAGTTTTGAGCCTGGAGTATCTTGAAGAACTGAGGCTTTAACAGAAAGAAGATTTAAGAAAATCCAGTAAAAGGAAATGAAGTAGTTTGGTTTTGGAAATATTTCATGCAGGGTGCCTGGGTGGCTCAGTTGGTTAAGCGACTGCCTTCGGCTCGGGTCATGATCCCAGGGTCCTGGGATCGAGCCCCACATGGGGCTCCCTGCTGGGCAGGGGGCCTGCTTCTCCCTCTCCTTCTGCCGCTCTCACTGCTTGTGCTCTCCTTTCTCTCTGTCAAATAAATAAAATCTTAAAAAAGAAATATTTCGTGCATACTGTATCAGCCCCAAAAAAGTGACTTTATCTTTTCAAAAATGCCTTAATAATGATACAATAAAGAGTTAATTATCTCAAATGAAAACAAGGGGAAACAATCCAAAATTTATATAATGATTCAAATATTTTTCATCTCTGAAATATTTTTAACTCTTTTTGTACAAAAGGCACAAACTGAATAATTGTGCCTAAACCATAAAGTCCTACTATATACAATCTAGAACACCCTCTTAGGTTCATCCCTAACACCAGCTTTAATCTTCATTCACTTTTAAAACTAGAGTTGAGACCCTTGAACAACATGGAGATTTGCTGCTTCTAATACTTAGGAAAACTATCAGCAAAGACCAATGTAGATATCTGAGTACCCTTTCATGAAAAGCAATCTGTTCTGGCCCAATCTAATAATGAAACATAAAATGTTTAATAGCATTTAAAAAATAATGGCCTGGGAGGTAATGAAAAACAGTATACATCTAATGGTTTCACTATTTTCACCAAGACATGGGCATCAATGGTATATTCCATGTTGCACTGGGCAGTATGAGTATGAATACTAAAACCACTGAAGAACAGGATGACCATGAAAAAAAAGTGGTTAGGTTTTTCTTTAAGATTTTTTTTTAAAAAAAGATTTTATTTATTTGATAGAGAGAGACACAGTGAGAGAGGAAACACAAGCAGGGGGAGTGGGAGGGGGAGAAGCAGGCCTCCCGCGGAGCAGGGAGCCCGATGTGGGGCTCAATCCCAGGACCTCGGAATCATGACCTGAGCCCTAGGCAGACACTTAACAACTGAGCCACCCAAGCACCACCCCCCTTTTTTAAGATTTTATTTATGAGAAAGAGCACGCACACACGAGTGGGGGGAGGGAGAGGGAGAATCCCATGCAGACTCCATACTGAGCTCAACGTGGTGCTCAATCCCATGACCACAAGACCACCAGCCAAAACCAAGAGCTGGATGCTCAACTGACTGAGCTATCCAGACACTCGAAACATGGTTAATTTTTAAAAGATCATTTTAGATATATTTTACGTAAGTTTATCAGCAACCTCTTCAAGGATTTCTAAAACCATTCTTTTCTGGAGGGGTATTCATGAAGAGGTTTTAATGATGCACAGTCAAGAAAACAGGACCTCTGCTGAGGATCTCTCCTGTTTTGTGTTCCAGTAGAAATAAAAAGGGAAGCTCCAAAGATAATGGTTTGAGTATAATATAATCAATTCTAACAAAATTCTACAGCCTTAAGATTTTTCTCTATTTCTCTGGGCACTGAAACTTTCTTAACAAAGCTATGAACCTTACATTCCAAAAATTTTAAAGACAACAAGGAAATTCTAATGTCAACCTCCTTTATAAGAGTGCACTACTGCCTACAGCCACCCTGTGATGCTGCGAGAGCACCTCGTATGTCTCCCTCCCCTCTCTCTCCCCCTCCTCTCTCTCTCCCTCCCCTCTCTCCCCCTCCCCTCTATCTCCCCCCCTCTATCTCTCCCTCCTCTCTTACCGGCAACTCCAAGGACAGGCTCCATGATGACTGTTATTATCTCACGGAGACAATGCAAAATTAACAACAGCCTGCAGTGTCAGAAAAATGCCAGTCTTGTACAAAGATAAAAAACAAATCACAAATCATCTTTTTAAATTTTATATATATTTTTGATGGTTTTTGTTACCTCTTCTCTCAGTGCATGTTTCCTCTGTTCCAAACAGATCTCTTTTGCTCTCATCATCTGCAGAGTCTCCTTAGAAACTGCATACTGGAGTTTTTCCATACGTTCTGCAGCTGCTGCCCATGATGCTTTACCAAATTTCTTCTGATCTGCTCTCATTCGATCGTACACAGCTATTAATAATAATTTTGTAGAGACATTAAGACACAAGACAACTTGATACTAAGGAATTTCAAAGTTTTAGATCTCGCTGACCACACACATGATGATGAACAAATAAATCCTACTCCCTTAAGTTACCTCTTAGCAGCTCTAAAATATAACTCAACATATCTTAGATTCTATTATCTTCAATAAGAATCCTAAATAATCATCATCAGAAATAACTTTGTGAAATAAAAACTGAGTTGTCAGATTTTAAAACTTTTATTTTTTTTTTAAAGATTTTACTTATTTATTTGACAGACACAAGCAGGGGGAGCGGGCAGGCAGAGGAGAGGGAGCAGACTCCCCGCTGAGCAATGAGCCCAATGTGGGGCTCAATCCCAGGACCCTGAGATCATGATCTGAGCCGAAGGCAGACGCTTAACCAACTGAGCCACCCAGGCATCCCTCAAAGGTTTTATACATACTTTATAAAGGGTTACACTTTTTCTTGGGTACATTAATTGAAATGAAGAGTCCTAACTATTCAAGATTCTTTGAAATTATTTATTTAAATCCATGTGTTATAATCTTATCATTTTGAGTTCCTCCAAAAATACTATAATCATCTGATGAAGGGAAAAAAATCCTAGATGTTAGCATGGAGCTTATTCTGAGGTTAGAGTTGAAGCAGTACAACCAAGTCCCGAGGAAAACACCCAACTTCCTCTCCCACACGCCCCAAAAAGGAAAAGAAAAAAGTAACTTTTTATTTGCCACAAGAGAGCCCTATTTCAAGAGATACTTCTTGACAATCAAACAGCTAGTACCTTTTCCAGTTAAAGAAGCTCATCACTGAGATCCTGGGTCCTATACAATTAAACCAACCATCATTATGCCCAAGCGCTTTAACAGGTCAGAGACACACATCACAAAAAAGATAGCTATCTGTTTAGCACTGAACTAGTCCGGCTCTTTAAGTCACTATACATTCACTAGCAGTATCTTTTATATGTAGGTGATAATTCTACTATACTATACTACTACTATGTCCTAACCATCTTTTGCAATGAAGTATATCTCAGTAAATCTTTGTCTCCGAGTTTTGTGAAATCTTAAATTTTTTTTTACAATAATACATGTACATACCTAAAAATTAAAACTGTACAGGCAGGCTGCTGAAGAAAAAGAGCAGTTTCTCGGGCTCAGCTCTCCTCGACCCCTTAATCTCAATGCCCAGATGCAACCAACTTTTGTTTCTGGTGGTTACTTCCATATAAAAATTGACTGTTTCTCAATTTATATAGACTTTAAAAACTATCTGTTGAGTTCCTATTATAACAGATGAGGCACTGTGCTGACTTAGATTCTCCTCTCAATATAGTTAAATAGGTTCTTTGGGTTTCAGTTTTTCTGTGGCCTTCAAGTGCCAACATAAAAGGTAATTTTTCAATGCATAATCTTGCTCTGAATCTCGATTTTAGGCTTTCTAACAAAATCTACTCACTGGTTGAATATCAAATGACTTTGCCATTTTAAAGTTCTACACTGTATTATAGTATTTCTGCAACCATAAGATCAATATATTAGTACAATGTAGGAAAACAAAAATCAAAGGATTTGGAGTGAAATAATAGAGTTAAATTCCCAATTCTTTTTTTTTTTTAAAGATTTTTTATTTATTTATTTGACAGAGACAGAGATAAGCAAGAGAGGGAACACAAGCAGGGGGAGTGGGAGAGGGAGAAGCAGGCCTCCCGCCGAGCAGGGAGCCCGATGTGGGGCTCGATCCCAGGACCCTGGGAACATGACCCGAGCCGAAGGCAGATGCTCAACGACTGAGCCACCCAGGCGCCCCTAAATTCCCAATTCTACCTGTAACTGACATGTAACTTTTGGCAAGAAACTTCATTGTTCTGGGGCTCCATTCCCTTGCTTATGAAAAAAGGACATAGATTATTAGATTATCTAGTTCAAAAGGTTTTGTGGAAATTAAATGAGATAATGAGAGTTATTTCATCTGTCTCTTCCACTTCCCATGGCACCATCACTCTCTTGCTCTCCACCTTACTGTCAGAAGTAGCTTCCTGTCCTAATTCAGTCTCATGTTGTTACCTACCACAAGAGCTAATCCATACTTTGTCTTCTAATACCTTGGCTAGAACATATTCTTACATCTCACTGTTACTCTCTTCAAGTGGAATTATTTTCCCCAACAGCTCAGAAATATGACAGTGACACAGAAAATTGTTTGTGAATGTAAAATACTTGGAATACCCTTGGGGTATCTCTAAAACAGATTCTTCTCTCCCTCTGCTAGCAAGAATAAATATTCTTGCTAAGGGACCTTTCACATTTTCAGAGTAACAACTCTATAATAATAGTGTATGGTGATCCGTATATGTAAAAAAAAAAAAAGCTGAGTGCAATATAGTTCTGGTGTTCAAAAAATATCATGTTCAAACTATTTTTAAAAGTTTAATATGCGGGTGGGGGGATGGGTTAGCCCGGTGATGGGTATTAAAGAGGGCACATTCTGCGGGGAGCACTGGGTGTTATGCACAAACAATGAATCATGGAACACTACATCAAGAACTAATGATGTAATGTATGGTGATTAACATAACAATAAAAAAATTTTTTTAAAAAAGTTTAATATGCTAACATATATACCTCTCAGAAATGAGCCTATTTAAGATTTTTTTAAAGTTAAGGAATAGGGGCGGCTGGGTGGTTCAGTCAGTTAAGTGTCTGCCTTCGGCTCAGGTCATGGTCCCGGGGTCCTGCAATCGAGCCTCATGTTGGGCTCCCTGCTCAGCGGGGAGCCTGCTTCTCCCTCTCTCTCTGCCTGCTGCTCCCCTGTTTGTGCTCTCTCTGTCAAATAAATAAATAAAATCTTTAAAAAAAAAAAAAAAAGCTAAGCAATAATAGGGGCGCCGGCTGGCACAGTCAGTTACGCATCTGACTCTTGGTTTCAGCCCAGGTAGTGATCTCAGGGTCATGAGATCCAGCCCCACATCCAGCTCTGTGCTCAGCACAGAGTCTGCTTGAGATTCTCTCTCCTTCTCCCTCTGCCCTTCCTGCTCATGCGCTCACTCCCTTCCTTCCTCCCTCCCTCCCTCTCAATCTCTAAAATAATCAAATCTTTTTTTTTTTTAATTTTTTTTTATAGATTTTATTTATTTATTTGAGAGAGAGAATGAGATAGAGAGAGAGCACGAGAGGGAAGAGAGTCAGAGGGAGAAGCAGACTCCCTGCTGAGCAGGGAGCCCGATGCGGGACTCGATCCCGGGACCCCAGGATCATGACCTGAGCCGAAGGCAGTCGCTTAACCAACTGAGCCACCCAGGCGCCCAATAATCAAATCTTTAAAATAAAAGCTAAGCAATAATATATCAAAATTAGGTTACATCTGGCTCAGTAAATGAAAAAAAAAATAAAAGGGCGTCTTTTACTCTTCCTCTAAAAAAAAGAAATCAGAAAGTTACCTTCTAGCTGGAAACATAAAGGAGAGCTATTACTATCAGCAGCATAAAGCGACAGAGAGTTCATTCTGTTTCCCTGACATGGGAGGAAGGAAACATACTCAGAAAAGGAAAATTGAATGGCCAAGCAAATATCTCTGTTTGGGTTCAAAAGCTTCCTACTGGGATAAAGTCACCAGAAGTGAGATATAAAGAAGTCTACAGTGACTCTAATGAAGAATTTGGAACCCTATAATGATGCCTATCATATACAAAAATATTTTGCTTAAAATTGGAGAAGTATAAAGAGCAATCATCAAAATTATATAGAGCCAGAATTATGAACCATATATAAAAATATATACAGAATCACCGCAATTCTGTAATAAACCATAAATAGAAAAAAATTTATAGAAACACAAAGTGGTTGCATAGGCAGTAGGATTACAGATGTATGTAGGGTTTCCCCCCTCTAATATTCTAAATTTTCTATAATGGTTATGTATTTCTAAATTTATTTATTTGAGAAAGAGAGAACAAGGGGAGGGGCAGAAAGAGAGGGAGAGAATCTTAAACAGACTTCCACTGAACAAAGAGCCCAACATGGGGCTCGATCCCAGGAACCTGAGATCATGACCTGGGCCCAAATTAAGAGTCAGATGCTTAACCGACTGAACCACCCAGGCACCCCATAATGGTTATGTATTTTTAACCATAATACAAACTTTAAAACATTAAAGAATGCACCTAGAGAGCACAGAAAGCAGACTCTAAACCAAATAATTTACAGAAACCTATTTCATAAAAATAATTTACAGTAGGAAAAGACTTTTTTTTTTAAGATTTTATTTATTTATTTCAGAGAGAATGAGAGAGAGAAAGCACATGGCGGGGGAGGATCAGAGGGAGAAGCAGACTCCCTGCCGAGCAGGGAGCCTGATGCGGGACTCGATCCAGGGACTCCAGGATCATGACCTGAGCAGAAGGCAGTCGCTTAACCAACTGAGCCACTCAGGCGCCCAGGAAAAGACATCTTTAAATGTTAAAAGGAACTACTACTAACAATGTACTGTTTTTTAATTTATTTTTTAAAATTGTCATAATGCTCTAAGGCAAACACACTCAAGTAGGACTGCTAGGTCAGACGGTAAGCACATCTTTAACTTACATAAGAAATTGCATTCAGGGGCAGATGGGTGGCTCAGTTAAGTGTCTGCTTTTGGCTCAGGTCATGATCTCAAGAGTCCTGGGATCAAGCCCCATGTCAAGCTCCCTGCTCAGCTCAGAGATTTGGCTTTTCTCTCTCTCCCTCTGCCCTCTGCATGTGCTCTCTCTCACACTCTCCCTCAAATAAATAAAATCTTAAAAAAAAAAAAAAGAAATTGCATTCATTTTCACGAGACTGTACAATTTTGCATTACCACCAGCAATACAGGGAGGGTTCTATTACTCTACAACCTTGTCTGCCCTTAATATTGTTAGTATTTTTTTCTTTTAGCCATTCTAATAGGCATATATTGCTAACTCATTGTAGTTTTAATGTGCATACTAATGACCGATGGTCTTGAACATCTTTTAGAGTGCTAATTTCAGAGTAAATGGCCATGTATTGTGAGTTTCTTATTCTCCATTCTATCCCATTGGTTCACACGTCTATCCCTTCCATAATACCATGCCACAATAGCTCTATAATTTGTAAAGTCAGGTAACATGATTGTTTTTCTTTTTTTCTAAACTGTTTTTTAGGTATCTTAGTTCCTTTGCCCTTCCATGTAAAATTAGAATCAGCCTGTTTACGTTTATAGGAAAAAGTCCTGCTTTTTGGTAGGTACTGTGTTAAATCTATAGATCACTTTGGAGAGAACAGACATCATTACTATGTTGGATGTTCCAATATGTGAACACAACATGTCTATCCATTTACTTAGGTTTGTGGTTTCTTCATCTTGTTAATCGTAAGCATTACAAATCCTGTACATGTTTTGTCAGACGTATTATAAATGGAATTTTAAAAAATTTTTCTATTTCCAACTATTCATTGCTTATATAGATAAAGAGGATTCATTTTTGGGTGCTGATCATATTTCCTGTTATCCTGAGAAAGTCACTTGGTAGTTTAAGTTTTTAAAAAATAGATTACATACGATTTTCAACCTAAACAATATTATCTAAAATGGGAATCAATTTATTTCTTCCTTTCCAACTGTAAGTTTTCTCTTTCTTTTTCTTGCCTTATTACAACTAAGATTTATTTTATTATGTTGAATAAGAGGGCTTAAGAATAAACACCCTAGACTTTTTACCTTAATTCTTGGGGGGAAGCATTTAGTCTTCCACCTTTAAATGTGATATTGGCTATAGAGTTCTTGCAGATGTCCTTTATCAAATTTAAAGAAGTTCTTTTCTATTCCTAGTTTCCTGAGTGTTTTCATCACACACAGCATGTTGTATTTCATCAAATGCTTTTTCAGCATCCACTGATATGACTGACCATGCATTTTTTTTAAAGACTAAAGCTGACTCAGCACTTTAGATACTATCAGCCAGAAAATTCTTCGTCGTAGGGTGGATTGTCCTATGTAACACAGGACTTTTAACATAATCCATGGCCTCTACTGATACTAGTAACACTCTCAGTAGTTGCAACAACCAAAATGTCTCCAGAGACTGTTAAATGTCCTTTTGTGTGGCACAATCACCTTTAGTAAAAAACCACTGCTGTGGGCGCCTGGGTGGCTCAGTCCTTAAGTGTCTGCCTTCGGCTCAGGTCATGGTCCCAGGGTCCTGGGACCGAGCCCCACACTGGGCTCCCTGCTCCATGAGAAGCCTGCTTCTCCCTCGTCCACTCCCCCTGCTTGTGTTCCCTCTCTCGCTGTCTCTCTCTGTCAATTAAATAAATAAAATCTTTTTATTTGAGAGAGAGCATGAGAGGGGGGAGGGTCAGAGGGAGAAGCAGACTCCCCGCTGAGCAGGGAGCCCGATGCGGGACTCGATCCCGGGACTCCAGGATCATGACCTGAGCCGAAGGCAGTCGCTTAACCAACTGGGCCACCCAGACGCCCCTAAATAAATAAAATCTTAAAAAAAAAAAAAAACAAACTACATTAGTTTGAGAAGAAGTGATTTCTTAAAAAGGATTATAGTACTATCTTCGAGAAGAAGAATTGACTAAACACCCAAAAAATTATTGAATAATAATGAGGAGGGGTTAATTGATAAGCTAGGTAATAAATTTCATTATGAAGCTATTATCATTAATCAAAGCATAAGAAAAGACTTATTATTGGAAAAGAGAGTACGGAAAGAAACCCAAGTATATAAAAGAATTTTACTAGGTTTTAACTATTCGGAGGAATACAGAAACTAACTTTAGAAAATATAAGTAACAATTCAAAGATTTTTTTAAAAATCATTCTTAAAAGCTCATAGTTTTTACAAGTAAAATTTGTAAAAGTTAAAATTTAGGAATGGGTATTTGCAAAAGATGTCCAAGTGTTAATATAACTATAATATAAATATAATAAAAATATCAACATATATAAGGAGCTTTTATTCATCAACAGAAAAAAATCCACCATACAAAAATAGGCAAAAGGTATTATAACTGGAAAGAAAGGATATGCAAATACCAATTACATAAAAAACAAAAAGTACAGTACTCCGTAATAACCAAGGAAATGCAAAATTTAAAAACACGATACTAGTTTTCACCTATCAAACTCCTGTTTTTATTTTTTTTAATGACGATGCCAAATGATGCTAAAGAATCAAAGGGAGCATTCTTCTTTAGCACACTGGCATTCTGAAGGAATAAACTTCTTCAAGTACAACTTTTAGGGAAATGAGGGTTTCCTAAAGGAATAACCTGAATGCTAAACTGTGTTAATGCCAGGTAGATAACGAAAATAATGAATAGCAGGGATTTTAAACTGCAACTGAAGGATTTCCATGGTCACCTATGGAAGGAAGTCGGAAGGAATGGACCTTCAGAGACCTTGCCCATGAATCTCTTCATTTGGCTTGTCTTGATTTTTAGCATTTATAAACCATAATCCTAAGTATGTACTTTCCTGAGTTCTGTGAATCATTGTAGCAAATGATCAAACCTAAAAAGGCTGTGTGAACCCCCAAATTTATCATCAGTTGGTGAGAAGTGCAGAAGGCCTGGGGACCCTCTAAATTTCCAAGTAGTGTCTTAAATGTGGGCAGTCTCAATGCGAACCGTGCCTTTAAGCTGTGGGGTCTGTAACAGGTTAGTTTCAGAACTGAATTATGCTACACTAACACCCAATTACTATTTTTTAAAGGTGGAGTATGTATAAACACATGCCCAGAAAAGACTGAAAGGATCTACTATAATTTGCAAATAGTGATCTTTTTTAACTACTAAGACTATGAGTAGTCTTTATACATTATTCCCCAGAACTCCTGCAAACATGAAATATTTAAACCACTCATTTTCAAAAACATCTAACAAGGATAACTTTACTAGGAAACTTACCTTTTTGTGCTTTCGCTGTTATTTCAAAGTATTTGACAGTAAGATCCTGAATAGACAGCACAGCCATGTGAGCTTTTCGCTGCCAATCAGCATCTTCTTTTTGTAGACTTTCAATTCTTCGGGGACCCAGATAATCATTCTCCATGGAAATCTTCAGAAAAAAAGAAAAATTAAGAAGCCCATTTCTTTCCTTCTTTATTCATTCCTTAAACATTTACTGAATGTTTAGTTATCAGGCAGGCATTGTGCCTTGTGCTAAAACAAAGAATACTTATTTTTCTCTTGCTCTAGAGTACAAGCCATTAATTTACAAAACAAATTAACAGTAACATTAAAGACATCTGACACAGAAATCTGTTCCCTATTCCTCTCTTCTTTTTCACCCTTCCCCTCCTTCACATATAAAAAAGGACATACAGCAAAATGTTAAGATGTTATTTTTGGGTGTTGAGATAACCCTAAGAAATATATTTCCTCCTTTATGATAATTATATTTTCAGGTTAAGAATTATTTGTGCCACTAAATACTTATTTTATAACTGGACATAAATAAATGAAAACTCAGATTTTTAGGACTGATAATTTATAAAAACCAGCCCGTCTATTTACTAAAGATCTCTGGACAAAAGTAAAAGACAAAAATTAAATATTATTTGCAAGAGTTACAAACAGAACAAAAGAGAGTTGAAAAATCAAATGATGGACAGGGATGTACCAGCTGAATGCTAAAGTAAAATTCACAGAAGTGACAGTATTAATATAAAAGTATATAAAATCACTACACAGGTATGTTTAACATGGAAGAAAGGTGAAATCCACCAAGACTAGCAATGGACCCTTTGTGCACTCTATCCTGCTTTATCATATAGTGAGAAAAGACTGCCTAAAAATTAAATGAGAAGTTAACATCTTATTCGAATGATGAAAAAAAAACCAGAGAAAGGTATTAACTCATCCCTGGCATATTTCTGAAAAACTAATCGACTATCATGAGCCACCAAAAAAGTTGTAAAACAAATTTCAGAACTAGAAATACAGGCTGTATTCGCTAAATGGTGCAATGAACAAATTAAAAGAACAGCCTGAACCCCAAATAAAATTTTAATCACCAGGAGCCCTTTCTTGCCCCCGCGGAGGCTTTCCAGAAGGGGCCTGCACAGGGGACTTGGCGCTGAAGTGGCCAAGCTGTCGGGAAGGGCCTGAGTGGGCGCTTTGAGGACCCAAGATTGTCTAAAGCCACAGGGAAAATGGTGGAAAATTCACCGTCGCCATTGCCAGAAAGAGCGATTTATGGCTTTGTTCTTTTCTCAAGCTCCCAATTTGGCTTCATCCTGTATCTTGTGTGGGCATTTATTCCTGAATCTTGGCTAAACTCCTTAGGATTAACCTACTGGCCTCAAAAATACTGGGCAGTTGCATTGCCCATCTACTTCCTCATCACTAGAGTAACTGGTTACGTACTCTTACTTGGAATAAACATGATGAGTACCTCTCCACTCAACTCCATTCATACAATCACAGATAACTATGCTAAAAATCAACAGCAAAAGAAATACCAAGAAGAGGCCATTCCAGCATTAAGAGATATTCCTATTAGTGAAGTAAACCAAATGTTCTCCCTGGAAACTAAATAACTTTATGCCAAAAACTAAATTATATGTAGACTAACACCAAGCATTTACTGTAATTTTTTATATAATAATTTGGGCCATAATTATTTTGACTCTCTCTCGTACCCAATATTGAAATGTAAACAAGTAAGTTGATTCTTTTAGATTAAGTTATATTAATATTATAAAAGTTCCTGAGTATTAGTTATTAAGAGAATAAATAAAATACTGCATTACCATATTTTAAAAAAATTTAATCACCAGGAAATGTAACCTAAAGGAAGATAATATTTGGTTTTAATCTTGAAAAAACAATATACTGCTCCTTAAGCAAATGAAGAGGCTTCCAGATAGAGGGGGAAATATATGCAAGAGCACTTAGTACAGAACCCAGCACACAATGAGCAATTTATAATAAGCAGTGTTATGAATGGACAATAGCAAGGCATAAGGAGGGATCAAGAATGACTAGAGGGGAACCTGGGTGGCTCAGCAGGTTAAGCATCTGACTTCAGCTCAGGTCATGACCTGAGGGTCCTGGGATAGAGTCTCACATGGGGCTCCGCGTTTAGTGGGGAATCTGCTTCTCCCTCTCCCCCTGCCCCTGCTTGTGTGTGTGTGCACTCTTTCTAATAAAAAAGAATGACTAGAAAAAATTTGGGGGTGCCTGGCTGGCTCAGTTGATGGAGCATGAGACTCTTCATCTCCGGGTTGGAAGTTCAAGCCCCACATCGGGTGTAGAGATTACTTAAAAAAATATACAAAATCTTCAAAAAAAAAAAAAAAATCTGTATATAGAACTGCCATTTCCTCAAAAAGTAAACAATGAAGGAGTTGCTGGTTTCAAAGGGGCGAGGATCAAGGATTTCATTTTATATACGTTAAGTTTGATTTTGCAAAGGTCATGGCTAGAGATATAAATTTAGGTAGCCTTGACATACAGATGACATTTACAGCCATCACAGTGAAAGAGGCTATCTAAGGAAGTCATGAGAAAAAGGCTCATGATTGAGCCCTAAGGAATTCTGACTGTGAAGCTGGGTCAACAGCCTACAGAAACAAAGCTAGAGGAAGTGGGGACACCAGGCAAGTGTGGAATCACATAAGGAGCAAGATTCAAAGGAGGAGAAATTGACCCTGTCCAACACTGCTTGTTGGATGTAGGATGACACCTAGTACCCACAGATCTAACAGTATTAACATCACTGAATTTAGCAACAATTTAGTTCTAGAGTATAAGCAAATTTCCTTTGCCTATTAACTCCCATGACAACTTCAGATCTCAGTTCAACTACTAGATCATGAAAGTCTTCCCAACTTCCCATTATAACCTCTTCAGTGCAACACATGTAACTTTCCTTCAAAGCACTTACCATAATCATACTTTATAAGATTTCGTGACCTTTAACTATTAACTGCTTCTCCCTTTGAAAGTTCTATGAGGGCAGAGAATGCATAGGCTTTTTTTGAGTGTGTGGTTTGCTTGTTTTCTTTTGGTTTTTATTTTTCTGCTTCTCACTAGCATACTGCCTGGCATGAAATAGGCAATCTAAAATATTTCCTAAATGAGTAAGTAAATTAAAAATTCACTCTGCACCTGTTTTTAATGAGAAGAGAGATGTAGACATGTGTATAAATAAATACTCTCTTGAAAGATCTGAGTGAATAGAGGAAAAAAGGGTGGTGCTAGGAGAGGACAAAGCTTAAGGGTAAGCCTTTTGCTTTTGGTTTTATTTCAATGGGAGATCATGCAACAGGCTGAGAAGTGATAAGCAGTATCTAGCAAAGGGAAAACATAAAGATGCCAGGGGAAAATGGGGCTAATTATAGTAGAAAAGTCCTTAAGAACAACATGGGAAGGAACAGGATTCATAGTACTGGTATAGGGAATTTGCTCTTGGTAAATGTAGGGAAAGTTCTTCCGTGAGCATAAAGAAAGTGAAGTTTTGGATTTGTAGAAGGATGAGGGGAATTTCTCTTTGATGATCTCCATTTTCCCCTGTGAAAAAAAGAGTCCAGATAAGAAAAGGTTGGTACAGGAGAATGGAGAAGACACAAAATAGCTGTTTTTAGATAGTAGGATGACAAACCATTTAGAAAAACTCATGAAGCAAATATTTTTTTAAAAAGAAACCAGGGTTATTGTGGTCATGGTAAAACAGGCACAAACTCATATACTGCTGTTAGAACTACAAATTGATGAAAACCTTTTCTGGCAATGATTTTATGATACCACATTCTTTTCTTAAATACCTATTTTCTTACCTATTTAAGAAAAATAACCAAAGATGTTCACTACAATGCTGTTCGAAATAAAAGAAAAACTGTCTCACAAATATCTAACAGAGAATATTATAGATGATACACCTATAAAATACAATTCTATACAAAAATGTCTATGAGGTTTCCAGTAAGAAAGGAAAATGATTGTTATAATAGTAAAGACAGATCAAATCATAGACATAATTTCAACTACATAATGTCCAGAAAAAAGGAAAAAATATGTAGAATGTATTACTGAGGTCATTAGATTATGGGTGACTATTTTTCTTTTCTGTTTAAAATCTGTACTTTCCAAATCTTCTTTATTGTGTATGTATTGCTTTTATAACAAAAAAAATGTTTTATCTCTTCTTTGGTTCACAAACCATACCAACCAGACAAGATGAAGACACATTATCCCAGAGGTTTCCTGTTTCTAGTTAAGCAAACAATGAGCTCCTGTTTCCATATAGGAGGACCAGCAAGAGGCAAAATTATGAGACTTACTTTTTTTTTTCCAGTGTGTGTGGGAGGGAGGGGAAGTGGAGATATGATCAGAACCTAAATGTCTTAATAGTTGGAAAACAGAATTATGTGAGCTCCATTTCTGGGACTACAAAAATAGTGCCAAGTAAGGACAATTAAGTCAGTAGAAGCTTAGATTCTTGGTATCACATTCCCTACTTACCAAGACTGGAATTTTTTAATTCTCAGAAGATAATTACTATATCTCCAGTCACATACTGCAGGAGTCAAACTTACATGATGCTACTGGATATGGTTGTTTTCTTTCTCCCTTTTAGACTTTACCATGGCTAATATTTGGAATCATTCAATTATATATTTTGAACAAAGAGCCCATTGTACTGGGTGCTTCAGGGGATGTAACATAAGATACACATTCTCCTTCTAAAAAACTTACAATCTAATTGGAGGGTGGGGTAAGCAAAGATATCTGTGCTGCAGAAATCTAGACCTGGCCGCGCTACGCAGTAACTATGAGAGCTTTGTTTGACACAATCACTTAACATTCGATTATTCACTCAAAATGATGATGTATTATCAGCATTTTCTCAGCATCAGTACAGTACTAGGCAGTAGGCATAGAAAGATACTCAGCCTAGTGGAAGACACAGACAACAAAATAAGAATTAAAATAGAGTATGAAAATATATCAAAGAGAGAGTATGCCTAAGATACTACGGGAAACACCAGCTATGGAGGTTGCAGTACCAAGTCTGGGAAGAAAATTTCTAATGGGAATGATGAGTAAGTAAAT